GAGGGTTAAATTTAAAATTCCTCACTTATTTAGATACTCACATTTTTTCTGAATCTTTCTCAAGCATGAGTTGAAGATATTCTCTATGCCCAGCATTGTAAAGAAAACAATTGAAATTCTAGGGATGTTAATAAAGAGTGGTTTTGCTATAAGGCAGGAGCTGGCAAACTGTGGCCTGCTGCCTCTTGTCATATGCCTGTGAGCTAAAAATAGTTTTTAAATTTGTAAGTAGCGTGAAAAATCAAAAGAAGAATAATACTTTGTGATACATGAAAATTACATGAAATTCAGGTCTCCGTGTCCAGAATAAATTCTACTCTTGTCATTATTAGATGTGTGTTACAAAAATTTATACTCGATTATTACACTATTTTGAATTTCATCAGAAAAAATTAAGGGGAAAACATTTTTTCTGTTATTAATGCCTTCATAATATCCTTGACTTTATTGTTTGTCCCACAAAACCTAAAATATTCACTATCTGGCCCTTTACAGGAAATGTTTGCTAACGCCTGATGTAGGTCATTCCACATTTTTGCTAGATGAGTGGTTTTCAAACTGTGGCTATTGATTCATTATTTGCCTTGAAATTAGTTTAGAGGGTTGCAAATGTCATTTTTAAATAGATGAAATCAACCAGAATAAAATAAGAAACTCTCAGAGTACATTACACGTGGTAGGGTTAATTATTGCCTTATGAAATGTTTTTTTTTCCAGAGGGATGTGTTGAGTGTGTGTGTGTACACACATATGGTGAGTCATCATGTTATATAAAAAGTGAATCATGGTCACATAGTTGGAAAGCCACAAGGCTAGACTGTAAACTCCACGAAGGCAGAGAGCCTCTCTTTGTTTCCTTGGGCCTGACATAATGCCTGGAAAAAAAAAAAGGCTTTTGTAAGTGTGTGGAGGTTATGAATGAATGAGTTCAGGGGAGAAATAAAGGCAAGATGACTGACCATTTTGCACCCAGCTACTAGATAAGTTCGGGAGATCTCTTCTTGCTAAGTGGAGCAAGCAGCAACTCTGTGCAGGCTGTGTCCTGGAGTAAGGATATACTGGATCCTTGGGTGGGCAAATAGTGTTTTCTTTATAATAAAGAAAGCAGGATTCATATAGGAAGCGGGGTTTGAGCATCATACCAAAGGATAGACATACCATGTGATGAGTGTGCTGTATAAAAGGGGAACGAACAGTCACTGGACCAGGAATCCTGATTTCAGGTGTCTGTTCTGTCCTGAACGCTGTGAAACTTGGACTTAGTTTCCCATGCATCTCTGTCACTTCCTCCAACCCAGTGGAAGTGAGGATGGTGGTCATGGCCATTGTACACCTCAGCTGTGAGGATCAGATAGGGGAATGTGTAGGAGAGTGCCCTGAGAGTATAGATTCTCATTCAGAGGCAGTACTCATTATTCTACCCCCTTAAAATCTATCAGTCCTCTGCTTTGGGCGGGGCATGCTCTAGGAACAATGGGAAGTAGAAGTTCCAGGAGAAGTTCAAAAGTCGCTATTAATCTTTTCACTAGTTTAACAGCAAGGACTGTAAGGTTCTTATAAGGTCCTTGAGGTAAGAACACCATTGTCCTCATAGTTAAATTGGTAAAAAGACCGGTAACAATGAAAGTTGTAAAATACCACAGCAGAGGAGATATCACAGGCCATGAATACCTGGGGAAATGTTCCAACTCTGAAAGAGGAGGTGAGTGTTCTGGGTGCAGGTGGGGAGTGGAGGTGGAGGAGAGGTGTGTGATTCTCAGGTAAAAGGGAAGGCCCGGTCGGGTGGTGGTAGTGGCAGCAAGAAGGGGAAGCCCCTGTCGATGAAAAAGTCCCTTCTGAGTAAGTGGCTCCCTGGGCTAATTGGTACATTACTCTCTGTGATGGGCCTGATGGTGCTGAGGTAACAAAATGAAAAATCAAATGAGAAATGGAACCCGGGAGTCTAAAAAGTTAGTAAATTTTGACATTAGAAATATAATCAAATTTCACCAATGCTTTTCTGTAGTGACAGCCAAATCCATCCGTGTCAGAGCAACAGCCTATGGTATGTGGTTTCATGTGGGTTTTCTTCCCCTTTTCTCTTTTCCTTTTGCAAAATCAGCATTAGGCTATTTGGAGGACAGGCAAGAACTATTATGTTAAATTGTGCTACCTACAACTTAAGCTTCTGTCTTTGCTAAAGCTGCCAGTTTTTATAAACAACAGAAGACAGAAAGGGTTTACTAAGAATAATGTTGAAGCCCAAAAGAATCCTACAGCCTATAAATCTTAATAGAGGTTCTGAGATTCCAGCAGGCTGGATGTGTCTCTTTTACCCAGGCTCACTCCATCTTGGCTCCCCTGTGATGACTCCAATTTTCTCGAAACACAGGCACGGTGCCTTGAATTTACTTGTGGCACTATTTGCCTACAAACAGGAATACATGCATATAACCTATGCAAATCAATAAAAACATGTCAAGACCCCTTAGATCGCACTACTCTTCTAAAATGCAATTTATCTTGCTGCAAATGAGAGTAAGGGGCTAGGTAACAAATAGCGTCTGATCATTTAACTAGCACCTGTTGTCAATGCATTTGAAAACCACATTTTTCATTTGACATACAGTAAATTGCATTTTCATATATATCGAATGGAAAAGGGAGTTGGGATGTACATATGCAGCCCTTTATGAATTTTATGAACAATGGATATTTCACAGCTGTATGTTTAAAAGGGTCACGTCACATGCTGCAAATCTATTTGTTCTTTCCTGTGTTGGTTGTGAACACACCATACTTTTCTTATGGCTGGGTGTTGAAGCGCACCACCGCTGAAAGTATAATTATAACATTCATGTTAGGTGAAGGACAATGACTATAATTTTTGTATAAAATTGAATATAACTTAAGTGTGTAAATGTGAAATATTTTTTAAAAAGTTTCTCAGAGGAAAACTGCTTTTTATAAATTACATTTTTCAGTCAATCCCTTTATTGGCTTAATTTATGAGGGTTTTTTTGTTTGTTTTGTTTTTGTTTTAAATGCCATATTTTGTTTGCAGATGGGTGGCTGTTGTACAAATCCAACAACACTTAGGCTTATCAGCAACAATGGTTTTCACATTAGTGAGCATGGTTTGGCAATATTACTTGACATCTGGAACAAGCTATATTATACCAGACATATCAAGTATAACTGAATGGATCATTTCACTGGCATTTGTTTCAAAAACTCCCACTCTTCAGCTTTTGCCTGGCTGTCATGATACGACGGCAGTGAGTCCCGTGTTCCCCCAGCTTCTGTGCCTCTCATTTGCCTTTGACAGTCCCATGTGTACTTCCTATCTTGAGTTGAGCATTTTGTAATAGTGGCTGTGAGGCTGTGTTGTTGCATTTGTCTGCCTCCCTGCCCCCCCCCCCCACCCCTCTCGCTCTCTCCCTCTCTGTGTGTGTCTGTTTTTTTTTTTTTTTTTTTTGCCATGATACCAGGCAGCTGCGAAGGTCAGGGGCATTGTGACCACTTTAGCCAAGAATCAGGCTGTCATGTATGCTTTGCTCTTGTTTTGAGTTCTTGATTGTGTGCCCCCCCCCTGGCATGTCTACATTTTTGGGTAACCGAGTCACAGGGAGACTTGCTTTGTTGAATTTCGTGTAACTTGGATAGAGAGAAGAAAAACCGGGAAAGGGCCCTCTGCGTTACATCCATAAGTAAAAGAACCACATGGGGGCAGAGAGGGAAGAAGTTGGAAATATAAGGAAATGGTAATAGAAGGTTAACACTTAAAAATCTCTGTGTAGTTGGGGTACATTTTGGGGTGGACAGTCACAACTTGCAGGGTGAGACTACCCCCAAAATTTCATATCATCACCGCTACTGATTTACCTTATGGCTCATGGGAAGGAATTCACCTCCTGGGATGTCAAATGCCAAGGGTAATTTCTAAATAAGAATGCATTTCCTTCATGTAGTAATGCTGTTGCAGCTGCTATTCGTGTCATGTTTTTATTTATTTGTCTTGGGTGAGAGCTTCTTTCTTCAAACTCAGCAAGGTACAAACAGGCCCACCTAGCTTACTGAGTAGATTCACACTAACTATTCAAATTAATTAAAGGGAAAGAGAGACTTATTAAGTCAAGTGAATAAAGAGCAAATCTAAAATAAAAGGCAAAAATCAAATAATAAGAAAAGTAATGTTTTAGTCCTGTTTGCATGGAATTTGGTAAAACTTTTTTTTTATCAACACAGGCCTGAAAGTTGAGGATTGAGGCTGACAAGGTGTTTATTATCTGCACCAATGTCACTGGAAGGAACTGCCCATGGTGGTCTCATTCTTGGAAACAGAGAAGCAGCTTCAGCCCTTTTAACATTGCCTTTTAGGTTAGTTGGGGAGAGATACGTTCATTCATTCAGTCTTCCCTTCAACAAATATTTCTTGGTCATCGAATGTTATTGAAAGCACTATATTAAGTGTGGAATAGAGGCAGAGCCAACAATAAATGATAACAGCAATGGAAACCAAAGGATTTAAAAATCCCACTTAAAGCTGCATCAAGAAGAATAAAGTACTGGGGTGCATGGGTGGCTCAGTCACTTGAGCCTCTGGCTTCAGCTCAGGTCATGATCTCATGGTCCGTGGGTTCGAACCCCGTGTTGGGCTTTGTGCTGACAGCTCAGAGCCTGGAACCCACTTTGGATTCTGTGTCTCCCTCTCTCTCTGCCCCTCTCCCACTCATGCTCTGTCTCTCTCTCTCTCTCTTTCTCAAAAGTAAATAAACATTAAAAAAATGAAAAGAAGAAAAAAGTACTTAGGAATAAACTTAACCAAGAAGGTGAAAGACCTGTACCCTGAAAATTACACAAATGTCCTAAAAGAAATGAGAGAAGATAAAATAAATGGAGAGACCTCCTGTGTTGGTAGACTGGAAGACTTAAAATTATTAAAATGTTCATGTTATTCAAAGCAATCTGTAGATTCAGTATAATTTCTATCAAAACCCCAATGACATTTTTTTTTGCAGAAATACAAAGAACCATCTTAAATTCATCTGGAATCTCAAGGGATCCTGAATAGCCAAACCAATTTTGAGAAAGAACTAAGTTGGAGACCTCACTGCTTGGTTTCAAAACATACTGCAGAGCAAAGGTAATGAGGGTAGTGTGGTGCTGGCTCAAAGACAGGTGTATACACCATTGGAATAGAATAGAGAGCACGACCCTTATGTATATGGTCAAGTTATTTTTCACAAGGGTGTCAGATTACACAATGGGGAAAAGACAGTCAGTCTCTTCGACAAGTGGTGTTGGCAAAACTGGACATGCACATGCAAAAGAACAAAGTTGCACTTTTATGTTGGATTAAAGACCTAAAAGTAAATTCCTAGCAAAATTAGAAATGGAATTACTTTATCATTCAACCATCTCATTTTTGGCTTTATACCCAAAAGAATTCAAAGCAGGATCCCAAAGGGAGATATTTGCACCTACATGTACATTGTAGCACTATTCAAAACAGCCGAGAGGTAAAAGCAACCCAAGTCTCCACTGACAGATGAATGGTGTATGGAAAGAATTCTATGCATAGCATTGGATATCATGCAGCACTAACCAAAGAGAAAATTCTGTTACATGCTACATGAATGAGCCTTGCGGATATTATGATAAGCCAAATAAGCTGGTCACAGAAGGACATGTACTGTATGATTCTACTCATATGAAGTATCTAAAGAAGTCAAAATCATAGAAGCAAAAGAGCAAGGTGGTTGCTAAGGACTGGGGAGAGAGGAAAACGAAGGAGATTTCATGCTTAGTGGGTACAGAGATTGAGTTTGGCAAGATAAAAAAGTTCTAGACATCTATGTGACTATCCTTAGCACTACTGAATTGTACAATTAAATGTTTGCAATGGTAAATTTAATGTTACGTGTTGTTGCCACAATAAAAATCAACACCACCAAAGTAAATATTGGTCCCTACCCTCAAGGGATCTTGGAATCCAGTCAAAATGTCATTTTAGCTTATTTGTAGTTGAAATTACTATAGGCAGAGAATGGCCAGGGAAGGCTTCCTGGAGGAAGTAGGTCTTGAGTTTTGGTAGTTGAAGCCCCTACTCTACTTGGTAGGTCTTTTTCACCTTGTGGCTGTTGGTAAAGTGATTTATGTTTCATAATATGTCACTGAAGTAGAGTGTGAATTTTCTTTGGGAGTAATGCTTTACTGGCTAAATTAGCTGCTTTCTGCTCAACATCCCTATTTATTCAGCAGGCCTACAAATTTGCCTTTGTCATTCTGAGACCCACTGATGGGATCAAATGTTAGGTATCCAGGCCGAGTCACCTCATATCCTGCCTGCTTCTTTACATGTTTTCATATACATCTACCTACTTACTTTACAATTCCAAAGGAGAACTAGGCTCATAAATCTTCCGGATACCCCCAAATGAATTATAATTTTACTCACTAGAGTTGTTACCTTAATGCCTCTCTTATTATCTTGTGTACTTAGACTTTAGATACTGGGTAGGAAAAGTGAATGCGGTATTGACAACAAGCTGCATTTCTCTTCTGTTTAAGTTCATCTGCCTCAGATACCTTCATAGATCCATTCTTGCTCTTGACCTGCTTTTCTGTCTATCACAGGAGGCTGTCACCTGCAGGAGCATTTCCCAAGTTCTCATTGGGTGTCTTCCTTTTTGGTTTCACTAATGGGAGACCCTGGAAGGAGACTGGATGGTGGGAGGAAGGGACAAGCCAGGGTACTTCTCCCCACTCTGCCTCTGCTGGCTACTCTGTCAGGGGCTGAATCTCTGCTGTGGCTCCAATTCCTATGGGATGTGGCCCACCAGGGTTCTCCCTTTAATGGGAGACCTTGTCCCAGCCCTCCGCTGTCTCTTCAGCCCGAGGGTGGTTGTGGTTTCTTGCTGTTGCTTCTCCATCATTTGTATATCCAATTCCCTGCATTAAATTCCTTCTGTTGTAAATATTTAGAAACAGCCGGCTCCTTTTTTTCTAGGTTTGACCCTGAGGGATAATGGTTCTTTTGTGTCTGAGGACTTCTTGGCAGTCCATGGGCCTTCCAGGAGCTCTACACAGTTTGGTCATGTAAAAACCCATACATACACTGAAGGAAAGCAATGTTGGAAACTAACAGCATCAGATTTGATGTGGCCACACATTTCAGTATCATTTACAGGAAGACGGTATTTGCTGTGTCTGTAGCCAGAAGCAAAAGCAATTGATGAGAGTGTGAAGGTGAACTGGATTGTGTTTCATGAGTCTTATTTTACTTGTGGTGGCATATAAATTGTGAAACTGGGTGAAAATAAGTGCTGGAGTCCCAGAATTTATTTTAGATCTTCAATATGATAAACATGGTGTCTTCCCATTAAAGAAACCCCCATAGACATAATTCCGCATGGTTACTCCATCCAGTTTAATAAGGCCATTTTTATTATATGAGCACCTTGATAGTCTGGCGTCATGCTAGAAACAAACTACAAGGAGAGCCTGGTCAAAGCTAAAAAGTGGTGTTTGGGTTGGGAATAGGAAGATTAAAAACTAGGGGCGCCTGGGTGGCGCAGTCGGTTGGGCGTCCGACTTCAGCCAGGTCACGATCTCGCGGTCCGTGAGTTCGAGCCCCGCGTCAGGCTCTGGGCTGATGGCTCGGAGCCTGGAGCCTGTTTCCGATTCTGTGTCTCCCTCTCTCTCTGGCCCTCCCCCGTTCATGCTCTGTCTCTCTCTGTCCCAAAAATAAATAAACGTTGAAAAAAAAATTAAAAAAAAAAAACAAACAAAACTCATCTATAGATTACATTGATATTATTGATATTAGTCTGTAGCCATTTTTGCATCTTCCTTGAGATTAAAAAAAAGTATAGAAGGATTGTTATGAAAATTGCAAATGGCAGAGCCTTTTATTTTAGGAGCCTTATATTCCCTTTGGGTTATATTGGAACTGCCCCAACAAGCTGGCAAGTCCTTAATAGCATCAGGAGTTGGGCATTCCCATTCAAACTTAAAAGTGTTGAAAAATTGATATTATTTTCTACTTTCTTTATTTCCCTCCTTGGTTTTTAAGTTGCCAAAAAATACTGTATGGGTAAGAAACTAGTGTTTTCCAATTGCTCATGTACTACCATCTAGTTTTCTTAAGGGGTAAACTTTGGATGGAGAGAATAACTGTTGAACGGTATAGAAAACATTAAAGTCAAAGCAACAACATAATGAACAATATTGACTCAGCAGATACATGGGGTCCTGGTGTTTAGCAGCTAAGAAATCACTCTGTTCCTACTCTCATGGGGCTTATAATCCCCTGAAGAGTACAATTAGGATGATAACCATGCAAAGTTCCAGAGGCTTTGAGAGAAGGGAAAGGTATCTAGTTAGATCTGGTGAGCTGATATTTGAAAGACAAGAGTTTACTTGGTGGATATCAAGACAAAGGAATATCTTGGTAAGAGGGACCAGAGTGTCAGGGGCTCCTGGGTGGCTCACTCGGTTAAGCCTCTGACTTCAGCTCAGGTCATGATCTCACAGTTTGTGGGTTTGAGCCCCGTGTCGGGCTCTGTGCTAGCAGCTCAGAGCCTGGAGCCTGCTTCAGATTCTGTGTCTCCCTCTCTCTCTGCCACTCCCCCACTCATGCTGTGTTTCTGTCTGTCTCAAAAATAAATAAACATAAAAAAAATAAAAAAGAGGGACCAGAGCCAAAGTCCAGAATCATGAACACCAGATAATATATTGCCTTATGGGAAGTGACATAGAGCTATTTTAAAGTTGGATCTTTATAAAAGTAAGATAACAACCTCTTTTTTTTTAATTGCTGTTTTCTTAACCTCACCTAGAAGAGGATAATTTTGGAAGAGGTGGTTGTTCAACATGATTGAATATGATTGGGTGTTATTACTTGCTGATGGGACTTAATTTTCTTGTGTTTAAATGTGATCCATTATCTTGTGTCTAGAACTTATTAAAATGACTCTAAAATGAGAAGGCAACTCTGCTTATTTCAGTGCAAACATACTTGCTTATTGAACTTCACTGAAGGATGCTGGGATATATGAATACTAAGATTATACAGATGCCCAAATCCCAGGATTATGGGACGAGGGCAGCCCTTTGTGATTGTGTGGCTGGTCAGATCACAGTGGTAACTCAGAGTGTATTTTCACTTTTTCTAAGCATTATTCTGTTTTGGTCTTTCTTCCTGGCTTTTTTTTTCTTTCTTCTTTCTCTCCTTCTGACTCGAAACTCATCAACTTGCAATACCCCTGATAAAACTCATTTATAATGCTGACCAAATTTTCTGGCTTCAGCCAGCTGTTCAGTTTTTTCTTGTGGAAGGCCCCAAACTTCTCACTACTTGTTCTGAAGATAAATTAGCGACTTCTAAATAATGCAGTGAACCCTAATTCTCTTTGATTAGTAGCGAGTTAGATGATAGCGACCCATTGAAATTGGCCATCAGCATAAATAATGAGTGAATGAACTGATAAAATGCAAAGTCACCGGCCGTCATAAATCAAATGAAATCCACTTTCTCTGGAAGTCACTGAAATTAGAAGTCCATGCTCCTATTAATTATTTTGCCTTCTGAAGACGACAGTGTTATAAATCAGCCTTGAAAGGCCCTTCACTTAGAAAGCTGAAGGAGTGCGGCTGCCTGCAAATTGCTTTGTGTACGCACCTAATTGTTTCTTAAGTAATCCACCTTTGTAGCATGGCTTTGGGAAGCAAAGAAGGTCCCCTTCCATTGAGATCCATGAATGTGGCCTTAGGAAGGGCCAAAATGGAGAGGGCAAGGATCCACCCCTTTCCTTAGAAAAGATATCCCCAAGGTCCTTATTTTATGGCTCAGACACCCATCAGGACCAGGCATTGTTGGAGTGGTTTTCTTTCGTGGGATCCAGAAAGCTGGTTGTAGGCCCCAGGCCATTTCATCCTCTGGTCTCAACTCCACTTCCATCCAGGCCTGAGAAGCCAAACTTCATTTGATTTCACTGAAAACCAAGATTTTAAAAACTGGGGAGAAAACAGAGATGGAAAACTTCTTCTCAAGCTCATTTTCAAGAGTTGTTGTAATCTGCATATATTAGTTGCGAAATGACACATAATTTTTGCTAAAAGGTGGGTGGGAAATTACATTCA